TGGGTCAATTTCGAGAGGATTCTGCGAATCGGCTCACATGAAAAGTGCCACCACTGAAACCGTCACGCCAGCATGGAAGAAAAGTGTAGCAGCGCAAACACCAGAGAGAGTAACATCACCAGACAACGAAAAAGTAGCATCTGTTTTCAGTTTTGGCCGCTGGTTACCCTCAACAACAATTCGTATGTTTGCCAGCTTTGGCCAGTCGGAGTCACGTTCAGGACACCTCCTCACCGGGGAATTCACACCCTGCGCGAGCTTGACGGTCTGGGCTGGCGAGTCATCTGCTATTTGTTATCTGAACAGTGAAATGGACGCTATGAACCATTCGGTTATGCTGTATTTCTTGCTGCGTGCGTTTTTTTTTTCTAGCGTCGCATGAGGAGGGAGCCATGTACAATTTCAGTATGTCCCAAAAACGAAGTGACTAACAGTTACTGAAACATAAGTAGGCTGCAAGCGTAGTAAGCTCCAATGTCCGTTTTGATTCATGTGACTTTGTTCAGCAGTTTGAATTTTCCGTCGACATTTATCTGCAAAGTGATGGCTTAAAATTTGGAGAAAATGGGTGGGAGCGACGATGAAACATAAGATTATGAACGGAGCGTGCACGGTATAAAAAAGAATAAGCATGAGCCTGGCTGTTCAAAATCTCTACAGTCTGCCGTATCTCTAACATGACGAAAACTATGCTCACTGAACCCGCCAATGATTGTGACCTCCATCTACAAACGCAACGTATGTGCCGACTGATGTGAGCGAAGATGCACGTCAGGGTCTGCTGGGTCCGGCATTAATAATGACTCAGTAGCGCAACAGAGAAAACCGGAACTGATTGATCTCTTTCAGCGCGAGATGCCGCCACCAGAAATCCGTAGCAGATTGCCCTATTCTGGTACCATAATCAAAACAAGCGGCGTGAGGCAGAACTGTCGGATTCGGTCATGTCTCCAGCTGATCCGTGCACGTTCGGAATGTTGGTTTAACCCGCACGGCGCGCCGGCTCACAGAGCGCCGACCGAGAGCTGGTGAAAGCCGCCTGAGATCAAAGCACGGCTCATTAGATACGCCAGCGGTAATTGTCGGCGGCGCAAGGAAACGCATCCCGCGACACGGCCTCGGTAATTGTAACGGCGTGGGCATACACTGGCCTCGGACAGTTCTGACTAATTGGTAAACATCCGTCAATGACAATAAACACAGGCAGCGCTGAGTCACGCGGCCATGGCCAAAAGCGATCACGCCAGATCAGCAATTAGTCATGCAGGATTACAAGGAGTGGTGAGCGGTGAAATAAGTTTTGTAATGGAGACGGGTCGTGCGATGTGATTCAGCCCCCTCAACCCGGATGATAACCAGATGAAGTGTGGTTCTCGGTAAACCGTTGACGCCAGCTTCGACCACCCTGTCGTGAGACACCTTCAGCGCGCGAATGCTTTGGGCCACCGCGGAATTTAAGGATACTAGAAAACCGTCACAGGTCTGGCGCTCGCAGTCAGCATAATGATGATGTCACAATGCCCAGTCATGACGTAACGTAGTTATCATCTACAGGACGTCCCATTCATGGCGGGATCGGGTCTGGTCGGGAAGGATTGTGCTGCGTGGGGCCACTATCATACAGAAATGCGGCAGGCTACAATAAAACAAACATTTTCGGTGGTTAAGGGTCGAGGGCGTCAGTAGGCCCCTGCTTTGATCGAGAGCAGGCCCCTACATGGTGCAGTGGGCAGCTCGGTCAGACAGATACAATGGATGACTTCCAGCCGCTGTACAACAGGGGATACCCGTTCTGATTACGAGAGTGTCCCATTGATATCTAGGAGTAGGGCCTCTCGTGAACGACAGGGGGCCTCAATAATTAAGGATAGTGTATGATGAAGAAAAAACATGGCGAAAGTCCCATAACGATTGAGAGAAGGCCCCACCATTTGCCATGCTGCAGAGTCCTTGGATGGTGGAGGTCTCTGGCACGGCAAAGTGCCTGACCATGGTGGAAACAGGCATGCTGAAGTGGCAGGGCACCCTTGTTGCGACTGAGAGGCTCTGTCTTGATTGCGAGGAGACCGCAATATTCAAGCTTAGCAGTAGCATA